GGAAGATCACAAATAGTGATTACATGAGCCCAGGATGCTACAATTTCCTCATAAATACATATTTGTGGTCAGGTGCCCAAATTTTGATCAGAAGGCCATGGAGATGCTGCGACTGTCCTAAGTGAGAGGAACAGTCATAAGTCTCTTTTTTCAGCACCACTGTAACTTTGAACGTTCGCTAAATGAATGGTTCTAGTTTGAGAACAATCTGTACTACAGTGTAACACAGAGAACATATTACCAGCTTCCTGTAATCCACCACTGCTTCCTGGACCCACTACCTCACTCTGTCTTATGGTAGGATCAGCCCCAGCAATTGTGACAGCAAGAACAACTTCTTCACCTCCAGGAACAAAATGTCTCAAGAACAGCCCCTGCTGTCAAATTTCAAATCCCAGCTGGGCTCAGGAACTAACAGCCAAATAGATCAGCTTGCCCCCAAACTTTGGGCACCAGGGACCGGTTCCATGGAGAGAGGTTTTTCCACGGACCAGAGGGGGCATGGGTTTGCATGCTGCCTGCATCCCACAGATGGGGCTTCGCTTGTTTGGATGGCCCAGTGCTGGTCCACGGACCAGGGGTTGGGGACCCCTGATTTAGAGAAGACATGACAATTCCATTCAGCAGCAACAGTCAGAGGATGGATGGATAAGATGATTGCTAGATATCTCATTTTATCACTTCAACATAACAGTATCAACAGCGTCTCTTCCTCTGATGCATACGAGAATCTCATAAACCCATTAAATCCAAGTCCTAACATTACATAAAGGCATCACCATCCACTGTTGAGAAGCTACAAACAAACTCTATTTTCTGCTGGATTAAAAAAAAGGATCATCTTTGGAAGTGAAAGGCTTCTGGAGAAATCCACCTGAGTTGTTGCATTTGGTAATAGCTGACTGACCAGAATTGCAGACTACATCACACACACCCCCGCCACCGCCAAAAAAGTCCTAGCTTAGAAATCAAGACAGTTATAGCAAAATTATCAACGAGAATAAGGTTGATTTTAAGACAAAGGAGAAAAGCTGCCATGTTCTAACAAGAGGATATTGTGCTACATATTTCATAAAGGGGGCTCTAGTCTACCACTACATCAATGTATCTTTTGAGCCAATCTTCTTGGCATGGGATTTTTCAGAAGAATTGGACTCCAAAGCCCATCATTCCTTCAGCCAATCTGGCTAAGAATGACAGGCAAGTGTCTATGGAGATTCTCAGTCATGCAGGTCATCCCAAGCATCCCAAGGATGCTTTTTCAAAAGGCAGCTGCACTTGCTTGTTTTTTCCTTGAAGATGTTTCACTTCTCACCCTAGAAGTTTCTTCAGTTCACAGATGAGAAGTGAAATGTCTTCATGGAAAGAACAAAGTCCAGTTGCCTTTTGAAAAAGCACTTTGAGGACAATGACAGACAAGGTAAAGTCCAAGATCTTTAGAAGGTACAGGATGGAAAAGGTGGACCCAGTGATCCAAGATGTTTCACATCTCTTCTTTGAGTTTGCTCTGACTATAACTGCAACTTACTAATCTGGATAGTTCTGGCTGGCTATTAGAAGCTGGGGAAGCATTCTCATCCTGACCAGCAGAAGATAAGCGCTGCAATGAAACCAATCAAGGAAATGGTAGCTCCAAAGTTAGCCTTATGTCAACTCAGGGCTGCACATAGTGCAGAGGTCTCTTCAAGAGTTAACACACTGAACTATCATTTTGAAAGGGGGAAAGAGAAAATAATTCAGCCTATGGGGAGCAATCTTGTTAATTGTCACTTCAATTAATGTTAACTTAATCACATGTTGTTTTTCCACTGGTTCCATCCAATCCCCCCCACCATTCTTTTGGAACTATTTGGGAAGATCTATAGCCCACCCTTTTCCCCCAGAAGCTTATATCAGCTTATAAGAGGATCTCTCTTTTATCCTCAAAATGACCCTGAAAAAGAGGTTAGGCTGAGAGAGTGGTTCAAAATCACCCAATGAATTCCTATTTGCTGTTGGTGGAATTCACCCTGGGATTTAGTTTAGCTTTACCTGCCACATCATACCTCTTCCCCATCAAGCACCTCACACACAAGTGCAATTCCCACTCAAAAAAGAGAGTTTAACCATGATATAAATGTAACACCCATACTGCCAGTGTAGGAAGCTTGACACAGAATACTGAAAGAACTAGATCTTAAAATGTACGTAACAGTATAGTACCCACCAGTATAAAGGAAGAACATTACACCTCTTAATAACACAGGTATAGACATATGTAACAGTAGTTCTATGGGGTTTTCTATTGTACAAAGCCACAAATTAATTCGGGGGGGGGGGGAATCCCAGTGGGCAAAGATCTTATTTGGGGAGGTGCATCTTATCTCAAGGGATTTTTTTTTACCCATGTCCTATCTTCTGCTTCGATTTGATTCTAGGAATCTTTTAGATCGGGAAAAAAAAATGACGGCTGCAGATAAGCATCAGAAGGAAAAAGAGAAGAGATGCTGCATTATAAAGGAGATATGAAAAGACAGCTTTGGGTTGCATCCAGAGTTGTAATTCTTCCTCTTTCATTTTGCTGAAAAGCATGTGTGCCGGACAGAGGCTGATCTTGGAAAAACAGCCTGTCAGCTTTTAAAAACTTGTTATTTATGACCACAACCCATGATTTGCAACACCACCTAAGCCAACAAACGTTTCTTCTGGCCTTCCACCCTGACACAAGTCGTCTGAGTTCTATCATAATCAAAATGGGGAAGAGATGAAATGGATGGGAGAGAGAAGCATTTTACGCGTGCTAAATCTTTTTTTTTATTTCTCCCCCTTTAAAGATCTTAGTGGGGAAGCCAAACAAACAAGTTGGGAGGGAACTTCAAAGCTTCTGGGGTCCCTTGAAAAACTAAATAAACATTTAACAATGTATCAAGTTGAGACACCAGCTCTTCTGCTTTTCCCATGCCATTATTGACAGCAAAAAAGCACTGCTTAGTCTGTTTCCATGGCTTTTATATCAGTAGCTGTTTTTTAAGACTGTCACAGTATATTATATAATGTACATTTACACAGGCACACTAACACACACACTCTTTCAGCACAGCGAAGAGGTCAGCCATCCTAAACCACCCCTGGAATCCTTGAAATTTGCTTTATGCCCTTAGGTAGCCACAAACCTGACTCTGCCACCCCAGGAGAATTCACATTTCTGGGGGGAGGAGAAGTGGCGCCAGCAACTAAAAGAATGGGAAAAGAATGGCTGGGGGTGAGGTCTAAAGAGGTGGCTGATGTGGAAGAGGAAAACTGAAAGCAGCGGTGCCCTCCTAGCTTCAAAGCCTCAGTCTATCCAATAGGCTGGATAGGAGGTGGTGCAGATCTTTTCCCCCAAGGCTCTAGTAAGGTCTTGCTTATGGCTCTCGGAATTTCAAACTGTAGTAGTACAAAGGAACAGGGAGGGAATTCTTCTCTTCCACATATCTGGGACCATGCGAAGCTGACTTGGAAAGAGATCCACAAACTGGACTTCCAGCCCGGGCTGCCCTTGATACAGAGGAGAGAGGAGACGACAGGCAGAAAGGCGAAAGGGATGGTTCGCCGTCACTCTCTCCCCGCTCAACGTACAAGGGTGGCTGTGATCGCCAGCTGCGGAGGAACCGCAAGCAGGAGCAAGTGTGGGAAGCAGGAAGGAGAGCCGCTGCTTTGGGACCCGGCTGCCCCAATTAAAGGGGTCGGACTGTCCTCGGCCACGTGCTGGGGGAAACCGCTCCCAGCGCCTAGGCTATGAACACCGGAACCCCCCGACCCTGGTTTGGCTGGACTCCAAGCGAGCAAGACAGAGATCGGGACAGTATCCTGGCTGGGGTCGTTTCGGCTTTCCGGAGCCACGCGGCTCTACCCCGGCCCGGGCCGAAGTGCCTCTGAGCAGGTGCAGAGCGCCCGCCTTTAATGAGAAGCCACAGCCAAACTGCAGATATTGAAGTTGGGGAGGGGGGGGGTCTAAATGGGCAAGCCCCCACCCCAACCGTTGCGGAGAAAGCCCGCAGAATCTCTCCGTAATCCCAGGAGGGGAGCTCGGCCGGCGGGCGGTTTCCCCGGTCCCTCTGGAAGGCAGCAAGGGCGGCCACACCAATGGCGAGCGGCGGACTCCCCGACCCCTCCCCACCGTTACGCAATACGCCCGGCTCTCGGGCTCTCCCCGAGCCCAGCCCCTCCCCGGCCAGGCTGGATCGGAAGGCAAGCGATTAACCCCTTCCTCCTCCTCCTCACCCCCTCCCTCCCAGGCGCTTTACCTCCTCGCCCCCCAGGGCAGCCCAGAAACTCCCCTCTTCCCCCCGCTTGCCAGGCAGTGGCAACCAGCCCCGCTTCGCCCAGGGAGCCCAGCAAGCGGTAGCAGCAGGGCTTGCACGGTCTCCCTCCCTCCCCGCTCCGGCGCGCAACAAGCAGCGGCAGCAACAACCGCCGCCCTCGGCAACGCTTGGCCGATGGGCCGGAGCGCAGAGCCTCGCAGCCCCCCTCGCGGGTCGGGCAGCCCCCTCCAGTCCCGGCGGCGCCACGTGCTCGCTCTGCCCGCCTGGGAGCCAGTCGGGGGCAAGGCGGCCGCCACTGCAGCAAGGGAGCTGCGGCTCCGGCGCTCTCCCCGGCGCCAGCTCCGACGGAGGGCGCAGGAGAAGCCGCAGGAGGCGCGCGGCTCTGGCGAAGGGAGCGGCGGGGGGCTGCGCGGCTCCCCCTCTCGCCTCCTCGCGGATCCGCCGGCCGCAGCTCTGCAACGTGCGTCATGGCTGCGCAGCGCCGGGTAGGATCCCCCCCGCGTCTTCGGTCGAGCCGCGCGGGGCCCGGACGGTCGCTCTGCGGGCAGGCTGGAGGGGAGCTGCAGGCGCCCCTCCTCGGCTGCAGCGTCTCGGCTGCTCGCCTCTCCTTCCACCACTCCCATCCTCCGCCTGCCCGGTCTCGGGGAGGCTTTGCGTCGAGCTCGGAAAGGGGAGCCCCGAGTTCCCCGGGCGGACCCCGCGGCCTCGGCTCCTTACTTGCCAATTTCCTCGTAAAGCTGATACTCGTCGGTGAAGCGGGTGCAGGTCACGGTAGTGGCCATCGCGGCTGCAGCTTCACTCCGCAATGAGCCGCCCGGGCTCCGCTCCGGCTGGCAGCGGGGGGGGGGGGGGGGAGGGGCGGGGAGGAGGAGGAAGGGGCGAGGCAAGCGCCGAGCAACGGGGTCCGCGGAAGAGCCGCTCCTGGCTGCGGGCGGCGGAGCGCGGCCCCTGCAGAGCGAGTGAGCGAGCAGCGATCCCGGCACTGGGCAGAGCCCGCGAGAGCTGCCCGGGAGGGGGGGGCGCCGCCGGCTCCGGGGGGTGGAGGGAGGGGCGACCGTCCTCCAGTGAACCCCCGGTTTGCCTCTCTTGCGGGTGGGCGCGCCTCAACTTCGACAGGGCGGAGGGTGTCGCTTCGCCCAATCCACTGCCGGGAACGGCTACCGCCGGTGCGGCCTCTGAGTCTCACCTGCGCTCTTAGCTGCGTCCAGCTCCAGTAAGCCCCCCTCCTCTGGGCTGGGCTGAGTGATGGACCCGGTCTTTTCCCCTCCGCGTTTGCCGAATTTGCACCGTGCGTTCTGCTTCCCGGAGGAGGGAATGGCGGGAGCCTTATTCAGACGTGTGATGGAGCCCCAAACTCTGTACAGTATGTTCCAAGTGACTTCAACATCCCCCAGGTGAACTCGAGTCCGCCCTCCAACTTTCTCTCACGTGCAGCTCCAAGAATTCCTAACCAGGGTGGCCTTGGAGAAAATGACTCTGCCATCTAGAAATGTTCCCTGCCAAGGGACTATTTTCCTGCTTCTTCTGTCCAGAGCCGTTTCCCTCATCGACATGGACACCCGGGTCCAGTAACTGCTCCCTTACTGCCAGTGCAGGTAGCCCTCAAATCCAACCCTGCCATCTTCTAGCCTGCTTTGACAGCTGCTTCGGTATGCTGACTCCAGCATTTTGCAGCTAGGGAGGCTTCAGGTGCTTGGTCGGCAACTCAGAAGGAAGTTAGAGATGCAAACTTAAGCCAGACTTTGAGGCTTAGTTGCAAGAAAATCAAGGCAAAGTTGCTTTGCCAATGTGGTCCTCCGTGATTCATTTCACTTATTTAGTTTGCATGATAGATAAAAGAGCTTTAGAATAGAATAAAGAAACAATTGGAAGGGACCTTGGAGGTCTTCTAGTCCAGTCCCTGCTCAAGCAGGAAACCCTATACCATTTCAGACAAGTGGCTGTCCAGTCCCTTCTTAAAAACTTCCAGTGATGGGGCATCCACAATGTCTGAAGGCAAACTCTTAGGAAGTTTCTCCTTAATTCCAGGTTGTTTCTCTCATTGAGTCATTTCCATCCATTGATTCTTGTCTTCTTTATTTAACCAAACCGTTTTTTCTGGCCTTACATATGAAAAGGGAACCATTGATTAACCAGATGGGTTGGGTCACACCTAGATTCAAGTAGGGGTGGCTTAGTGTAAGGTGCAAATACAGCCTGTGGGAAAACTCATTTGTGGAGAAGTTCCTCTACAGTGATGTTGAAGAACCATGGCAGGATTCTCACTGTGCCACTTATTAGGGATATAACTTTGACCATCCTCACTATGATCCTTTAGTTCATTACCTATTGAGACCCACCACAAAATAGCATTAGCTTGATTTGAAGGACGTTGGATTTTCAGATGAGGTGCCCCAGATCTGCAATGCTGCCTGGGACATAGTCTCAGCTTACCCTTTGCATTATTTAGTTAAACCATTATTTTGTTAAACCATTCATTTAGTTGGGAGTTACATCCGCACTGAAAAATGTGATTTATGATCAGTCCTTATGCTTTCAATCCTCACAGCATCCCTGCAGTCATCACATCAGAGTGCAGGTATTGAGCAACCAGCATGCATTTGCAGGGTCCTGGGTCATGTGATCCCCGTTTGTGACCTTATTTATTTATTTAGAAAATTTATATTGCTGCCTACACGCACATGGTGACTCAAGGAAGCTTCTGACAAGCACTCAATGGGAAAAGACAGATTTGCTTAATGCCCATAGTGACAATCATGCATTAACCATACTGGGTGGGTTTCCACAGCATACCATCACAAGCTAGCCAATTCTATTTTAGCCTCAAACACTCTTTGAGGATTGACTCTTATTATGTCAAAGCACCTTCAGAATGAAGAAAATGATCTGTAGCTAGGCAAACCTCAAGGTTTACAAAATACAAAAATATTTTAGAAAAACAGAGAGTGGAAGGAAGCTTAAGCTTCAAGAAGGAATCATAAAACTTCGTGGCAACAGGAGACATTTTGGAGATAGGCAGGATATGGATCAGGAAGGAAAGGGTTGCCATGAAGTTTTCTTCTTTTGACAAAAATATTATTTTCATGAAAATTTAATGGGAGCTGACGTGCTTCAAAGCAAAGCAGATGCCTTCAGCAACACTTTTACTCCCAACAATTTGTCAGGCCCATGGAGACCCGACAGGTCTCTTAGAAAATGAGACTATTTTCTGCATCCCAACACTTGGAAATGTTCCCACCTGCCTATAAAAAAATTAAAAACACATAAATAGAAATGGAACATGCTTTCTGCCCTTGTCTAGAGAAGGGACTGCAGGCAGACAAATCCCCAGGGCTGGTCAAACAAATCGAGGCAGCAGGTACAATTAGATGATTGAAGGCACTCACCCCCAACAAAAAGACTGAATACACATATTAAGATGGCATTCACCACTGATAGGGATTCAATCAGGTGGTTGTAGGTGCCAACTTAATGGGTGCCCTTCAGCTGGCAGGGATCATTTTCATCATCTCTTGAAAGCAGCCACTGTGTGAAAACATTCTGAGTGGGTTCAGCAATCAAGCAAAATTCCTTACACTCACAATGATAGACACTGGATGATAGTGCTTCTGACTGACTCAAACCTGAAGCAGAATTCCATGTTAGTATTTTGTGGCTTGTTCAATGACTACAATTCATGGGACCAAAAGAACCAACATGTACTATAATATGAGCAAAATGAGGACTCTGATGTTCAAGGGAAGATAAGTGATACAAGCTCATTCATTCCACACTTTGTAAGCGAGGGTGAACTTGCACAAGTTAAGCCAGAAAGAAGCCACCTTTACACAGTCAAGAACCCTACTTAATTGCCCATTGCTTACAGGTGAAACTCGAAAAATTAGAATATCGTGCAAAAGTTCCTTTATTTCAGTAATGCAACTTAAAAGGTGAACCTAATATATAAGATAGACTCATTACATGCAAAGCAAGATAATTCAAGCCATGATTTGTCATAATTGAGATGATTATGGCTTACAGCTCATGAAAACCCCAAATCCACAATCTCAGAAAATTAGAATATTGTAAAAAGGTTCAATATTCAAGGCTCAAAGTGTCCCACTCTAATCAGCTAATGAAGCCGTAACTCCTGCAAAGGGTTCCTGAGCCTTTAAATGGTCTCTCAGTCTGGTTCAGCAGGAATCACAATCATGGGAAAGACTGCTGACCTGACAGTTGTGCAGAAAACCATCATTGACACCCTCCATAAGAAGGGAAAGCCTCAAAAGGTAATTGCAAAAGAAGTTGGATGTTTCCAAAGTGCTGTATCAGAGCACATTAATAGAAAGTTATGTGGAAGGGAAAAGTGTGGAAGAAAAAGGTGCACAAGCAGTAGGGATGACCGCAGCCTGGAGTGGATTGTCAGGAAAAGGCCATTCAAAAGTGTTGGGGACTTTCACAAGGAGTGGACTGAGGCTGGAGTCAGTGCATCAAGAGCTACCACACAGACCCTGGACATGGGCTTCAAATGTTGTATTCCTCTTGTCAAGCCGCTCCTGAACAACAAACAACTTCAGAAGCGTCTTACCTGGGCCAAAGAAAAACAGAACTGGTCTGTTGCTCAGTGGTCCAAAGTCCTCTTTTCTGATGAGAGCAACTTTTGCATCTCATTTGGAAACCAAGGACCCAGAGTCTGGAGGAAGAATGGAGAGGTACACGCTGCAAGATGCTTGAAGTCCAGTGTGAAGTTTCCACAGTCTGTGTTGATTTGGGGAGCCATGTCATTTGCTGGTGTTGGTCCACTGTGCTTCATTAAGTCCAGGGTCAACGTAGCTGTCTACCAGGAGATTTTGGAGCACTTCATGCTTCCTTCCACAGATGAGCTTAATGGGGATGCTGACTTCATTTTCCAGCAGGACTTGGCACCTGCCCACATTGCCAAAAGCACCAAAACCTGGTTCAATGACCATGGGATTACTGTGCTTGATTGGCCAGCAAATTCGCATGACCTGTACCCCATAGAGAATCTATGGGGCTTTGCCAAGAAAAAAGATGAGAGACATGAGACCAAACAATGCAGAAGAGCTGAAGGCCGCTATTGAAGCATCCTGGTCTTCCATAACACCTCAGCAGTGCCACAAGCTGATAGTTTCCATGCCACGCCGCATTGCGGCAGAAATTGCTGCAAAAAGGGCCCAAACCAAGTACTGAGTACATATGCATGCTTGTACTTTTCAGAGGTCCGATATTGTTCTATGTACAATTCTTGTTTTATTGATTGCATGTAATATTCTAATTTTCTGAGATTGTGGATTTGGGGTTTTCATGAGCTGTAAGCCATAATCATCACAATTATGACAAATCACGGCTTGAACTATCTTGCTCTGCATGTAATTTGTCTATCTCATATAGTAGTTTCACCTTTTAAATTGCATTACTGAGATAAACGAACTTTTGCATGATATTCTAATTTTTGAGTTTCACCTGTACATTTGCATGTGTTTTACCTTCAAATCCAGTGAACCGAACAGCCAGCCAATCATGATATGAGTTACAGGTTCCCCTACTAACCTATAAACCTTGGTTCATATAACTTGCTAATTGTCTATGGAGATTCTCAATCATCTAGGTCAGTTCTAAAGAAGCTTCTTAGATGCGAAGCGAAATGTCTTCAAGCAAAAACAAAGTCCAGTTGCCTTTTGAAAAAGCACCTTTGGGATAATTTGTAACCCAATGCATGTAAACAAACCTGAACAGTCCACATCATGGTTCAGCATGTGGGTAACCAGACCTAGAAATTAGTACCAGAGCTGTGATCTACTCC